TGAGTCCACAATCGTGTTTCTGAGGTGGGGATTGATTCATGCAAAAATTTGACGTCGTGAGAACAGGCGCCAACTATTTTGAAAACGGCAATAATTTCTATATTCCAACCTCATGACCGCGCCGAGTACACGGACGAAGTCACCTCTAATCGTTTCTTCAGTAACAGGGTGATCATCAGCGAGTAACCATCATCTCTTAACAGGATAGATACATCATACATCCGATAAAACGATCTTGCTTTCTTCGTTTCTCCTCCTTCTATCAACACTAAGCAGCATTATCTCTTCACAAATCCCTCAATACAACCCCCGCATTTTCTCACTCTTGCTAATTCCTCCATTGTTTCTCCTTTCCAATATTTGCATCATGCGTTGGTAAGTACCAGGTCTTTAAGATTTGCAAACCTCATTAGAGGCAAATTCTAAGATTTGGTCGCATTCACTTTCTCTAGAAAGGCCTTTCGCGCAAAGTATGAATGTGACACTCTGGCAGTTTGCGCATCGTTTGGCAGGAGGAGGGTTTACTGTCCCATTACACCCTATCGGAACCCAAGCGATGGACTGTCGACTAGATTTCTTTATGAAGTTCTGGATCCTGTCACAACGTTGGTGACCAAACACGATTCTCCTGTGCTCATGGTCTCTGATACATCTGGTGAGTGCTCGTACCTATTCCTCCGCAACGCCACACAAAAATGCGTACAAAATACTGACTCACACCGTAGTATTACGAACTATTGTCGCTTCCGCCTTCGGATGGATCGAGGGTTTCGGTCCAGGTACTGAAATACGATGTAACTTTGTTAGCTCAGACATAGGCGAATGCTTCGATGCAACCCGAACAGATACTGTTGCACCTACTCCTGTTGTGCTTGGAGTAGCAGCAGCTGTTACAAGCATGCCAGATGAAATCACGCTCTTTTCAACTACATCGACAACACCGCCGACCTCAAATCCTATCGTGTCACCAATAGGTACCATCTCTACCACTTCAACGGCATCCCGAAAATCATCACTGAGAGCAATTGTCGGCGGCACAATTGCGGGAGTCTTGATCGGATGTCTATTGGTGATCTTGATGTTTTGGATGCTTCGCCGGGAACGTCGTTCACGGTCGATATCTGACCTTGAGAAGGCCAGTGGAACTCCTGAGGGGTGAGTATGACTAGGCCGAAAACACTTACGTCGTTATCAAGGTTGAACGTTAATGAAGCATCTACTATAGTTCGCTTTATACAAGACCTTGGCCGTATACTGTCACTACTACCAATTCGGTAAGATCTTCCTTCTATAACTTCTCGTGTAGTTCCTTCTGCTCGTGGTCAGACAAGCATTGAAACCTAGATATCAGAGGTACAAGTTGGCGCAATAGTTGACGTTTGACAATTGTCTGCTTGTATATAGGCGGCGAATAGCTACCACCTTGAAGAGCCCACCCGAGTGGATTTGCGGAAACAAACCCAAGGCGCACACGAAGAACTTCGCTCCCTTCAACAGGCGTTCCTGAACGTCCCAACGGATATATCAGTGCGGGATGGGATGATCAATATATTGGTGGTTAGTGGAACAAGTGTCGGTGAATGAGCCTCCACCAGTCTACCATGTGTTGACTTCCTTGGGTGACATACATAACACCTCAGATTCCAGTTGAAGAGATTCAAAATTTATATATATGTATGTTACACAGGGCAGGGAGTGCAGGTCTAATAGTGTAGAGGTTATCACATGGGATTTTGACGTGGGATATTTCCCATAACCCAGGTTCGAGTCCTGGTTAGACCTGAGTAAAGCTGGTTATTATTCCTTCTTTCTTTCCAATTCTTTTGGCGAATGTTCCTTTCATCGGTAAACAAACAAGATTCAGCGAAAGTGTTTTTTGATGGGGCTAGCAGGTATCATTTCGAAATTAGACAGCCTCTACTGCAGATGATATTGTAAGTCTAACAGAAGTGGAGACACCCTCCGTCTACTGACGTCTAATTCCCGCGGAACACTCCCCGCAAATTGTCCCATACAACACTTGGGCTTTGAGCCGCATCAATACCATGCCAGAGGCCTTTGCCCTTGTAATATTCTGCTACAGGACCAGTCTATTCAGCTAGACAGTTAGCACTCGAATACTTGAATGGGTAAGGAGGAGGCCTAATATGTGTGGAGCACCAAGAAAAGAGAGATGACTCGCCTGGGAATGATAGGTTTTCAATCTCTTTTGCAATGTCTCGACGTTATCATCTGAACGTTGAATTAGCGGTTCTCCGGTAATGTCGTCAACCATTGGTTTCTTGGGTGGGCTGTCAAGAAAGACCCAGGTTAGAAAATGTCAGGAATAAACAAGTGCACAAGATAGCTAGAGATTGTCACTGACTTGAATTCGCGATGATATGACCGTCCACTAGCTGGGTGGATCAATCTTCCCGTAATTCGGGAGATGAGTAAACTGTCGTCAATCAAGAGCTGAATGACTGAATCAAGTTTTTCCCCCCGCAACTCGAGCATGCCGTCTAATTTCTGAGCTTGAGGAACGGTGCGAGGGAAGCCGTCGAGGACAAATCTACAATTATACTTAGATTTGCGACTGTGCAAACGGTACCAATCAGTTGCTCACCCGTTTTTGCACGCTTCGTTAGTATCCAGTTCGCCCTTGATCATCCCAACCATGACTTCATCTGGGACCTAATTTTTGTTCTCAGGCAATTCGACGTTGACAAGGGTACTAATACTCACCAAACCTCCTTCGTCCATAATCTTTTTCGCTTCCAAACCAAGCTTGGTCCTCCGAGCCACCTGTTCACGCAGCATGTCTCCAGTAGCAAGGTGACATATGCAGAATTTGTCACGGATGCGGGGAGCCTGCGTTCCTTTGCCTAGAAATTCACTACTTAATCACTTGTCCGGAAAGTAACCAAAATTAAAGCGTACCAGCTCCAGGAGGTCCCATTAAAATTGTTCGAAGTTGTGCCGCAGGCGAAGGCTTTGAGGAGGTCGCCTTCCCTTCCAAAGCTTTGATTTTATCATTGAGTTGCGCGACTAGGGATTTGAGGTATTCCAGTTCAGTGTTCATGTTGTTATATGCAAAGTCGCCGCAAAGACCGAATACAATGAGATACAACCAGGATCAGCACAGCCTTGAGACGAATCCAAAAACCAATGCGGGAGCGACGCAAGCGGTGAGAGCTAGAGCCTAATGCAGCAGTCAGCTTCGAACCGGTTAAGCCAGGAATTGTACACGTATATATTGAGGATGAAATGATTAGGTAAGGAATGATCGGAAGACGAAGGGTTTAAAATCCGACCCGTCAATCTCAGTCTGACCGCGACAATCCAAACTCATCCACTGCCGGTTGTCGATTTCAATGTGTCTTTAAATTGCCATGAGCAATGACAGCAGAAAGACAATCTACTGTATGGTTTATAATACTGTACAGTAATAGATTTTTCAAATATTAACGACGTCAAGAGCGTCGAGTTATCCCTGTCCGTCCTTCCTTAATACGAAAGCAAAAGTAGGTCATTCGAGGTCATTGAAGGCGTAGAGGGTGGAGGGATTTCCTTGAACCGAAAAGAGTCGCCAATGTGTCTCAACGGCAAACGAGGATTCCAGTACCAATGTTGTCGAAGTGCTTGAGATTTAAGAGAATCTTCATAATCGGTGAGATTGATTACATCACTGTGTCTGAAATAACATGTTGATTTTGAGTACGGATGTCGAACGAATTGTACGCACTGGTCTTTTAAGTGAGTCACGATAGCCATAATTGGGTGAGTTTTGTGGCAGTGAGCACAACATATAGAATCTGCGTCGCTCCTGTAAGACGGTTCACAGGCAACAATTTTACGCGTTTCTTGTTCATTGAAGGAGTTCATGGTTAGTGTGTGGTTTAGATTATGAGTCAGCTAGGATACTGTAGCGTGAGGGCGATACTATGGTCAAAATAGCACTACTTACCTGAAGTGGCCATCGCATGAAAAGTCGACCACCTTCCCAACTTTGTGAATCAACTTTGCAAGTTTGACATTCAGCGAGTGGATTAGCATCGCACATGTCTTCAAATGTCGCTGTGGCAGGATCAAGGGAGCATGCTTCAATGACTGTCTTTGCAATTTCCGAACGGGCATCGCTGAAAACAATTCGAGTAGACGACCATGGACCCTCGTGCCAAAAATAAAGGCCGCGCGCAAATCCGGGATTGCGATTCTCCATGCAGCACCCGTGATAAAACATTTGAGGATAGTGTAAGAGAGAACGCTGATAGCAGCCTGTACATTCAAAGATCGTCGTGGCTAGATATAAGTCATTGGCTGTGGCCGTGGGACGAGATTTTTGCATGACCTCTACAAGTTCCTGTACTTTTGCAGGTTTCCATTCGTCAATCATGCCAGGCAAATGTTCCAGTAGTTTTAAGTGGAAAAATTCCTCGTTCAAATCTTCGTTTTCAGGCGTTTCCCGGATTAAAGCGTCGAAAATCTTGTTTACGAAGATATCGCCTAAGCTCGGGAAAGGTTCTCGAAGGTCCGATTCCGAACGAATGATGTTGAACGCTTTCTGAATGGAAGCAAGGCGGGCAGATAGAATACGGTTTCGTTCCGCGGCAACGCGGTCAGCCTGGCGGTCAGAAAGAAATTGCACCAATTCATCTTTGATGCTCCTCCACCCTTGAAATAGAATTTCCATTTAGAAAAATTCCCAGAAAAATGACGAGATCGCGTTCTCCGTACCGTGTTCGGTGAGTTTCTTTGACTGCTTGACTAATTTGTGGTCGCTGAACGTATCAAAGTAGGAGGGCCCATTCATGATTTTCTCCGCTTCATCGCGCCACCCAATCTCCTCAAGCCGATTGAGAATCCTGGTGGTAAACTGTATGTGCTTTCGTTGATCCATCTGAATTAAGGCTGCTCACTCTTCTTTTCTTTCTCTTCGCACATCACTCAGTACGTCAGCACGATCATTCAACCTCGCCCTGTGCCACTGTTCACATAGACGAGCATGCTGTAAGAGTAATTGTGGGATAGGCATAAGTAGTTTGAAACATGACTAATCTCACCTCATTTATGACCCGACGTTCTTTCCTCTTGCGGGCGATCCATGCGTTGCAGTCTTCCTCGGTCGGAAGTGCTTCATATTCTGCTTTATGTTGGTTTGCGATCTCAAAATTACCAACTTTTTGACTTCTATGCGCTGCAATATTTTTTTTAGTTAACAACGACATGATGTGCAAGGACTTAGTCTGACATGTCCTCCTGATCAACTCTGTTGGAAGAACATCGGTATCACGGTATGCCCAAGGCTGAGCATTAGTATACTGCTGATCCCAATATGAAGGAAAGCTAAGAGACGGGAAACAGTGGTTGTAGTGACGCCAGGTTTCGAAGAAAAAACTCATAGAACGTACGTATCCAGCGCGCACTTCTTACACGCCCTCATGCGAAAGTTCCAGAGAACAGTCTCACAACGTCCAGAGTGCCTACAAATCTGTGAGACTGTAGAGTTGGTGTTGCTTCACTCAACTTGAATGGATCAAGTACTTACATGACAATAAGGCTCGAAGAGAAGATGAGCATACTGGGGCTCATTCAAATCGTCTGGAAGAGGCGGCAGATCCTTCATAGTTTCACGGGAAATACGCCATATACTCTCCGATGATTTACTCATCAAAATATCACGGAGGTCTCTGGATGTACGCGCAAGTCGTAGCAGATCTCCTGGTTCAAGATAACAGAAGATCTGAATATATAACAAAGAAAAGATTCATCATTATGGCGTAAAAGACTGGGTCAATGATCAATTACCTCAAGGATTACATCCAATGGAACATCCTTCGCCAATTTCTCTAGTAGTCCCAATCGTCCTCGAACTTTCCTGAATTGCTCAGGCATGCGTTGCCTCTTTGTGCTGGATCCAGAAGACTGCTGATCCTGGCCAGGAAGGGCTACCTTCAATTTGGATGAAGCTGCCTTCTTTGATTTCTTCTTCTTCCTCTTTGGGACAGCCTCTTCTCCATCGTCAGGGTCTTCCTCATACTCTTGGTCTTCTTGGTCTTCCCTTGCACGTTTGCGGTCTAGAATAGAGTCTGAGCTTCGAACAACGCCGACATCCTGTGTCTGGGATTCGTCCGAAGCGCATTTCTTTTCCTGGATTCGCAGAGAGCGTCGAGCCATTGTGAAAGACAAAAGAGAAGCGTTGGAACATTGCATTTCGAGATTGACTCATTCCATGTCACGTGTTAATTATAGCGTGCCTGACGGGCCCGACGCGTCGCGCCGTCGGGAAATTACATTCTGAACTTTCTGAATTGAGACTGGGCGTTCCATTTATATTTATTAGATAGATAGATAGATAGATACACGGCGCCACCGGAAGGTGTGGTCCCGAACGCGGAACAGCCGGTCTCGAAGCACTGGCGGTAGCGAGCTCAACCCGCAAGGAGAAGGTAGACTACCGCCAGGTCAGCGAGGCAGAGATAAGTAGTACAAGTATATTAGTATTGTGTGATTATGCCGTTAGATTCCCTCTATGATTGTATCTTTTGATCTTCTCAGCTCGTCTTGTTGCTGCTCATTAACGATAAGTCCCGCTACTCCCATTCCACTGAAGTTACCTATACTCGTGACAAACACCTTCTCATTACTGTGCTTGGCAATGTTGAGCCCGGTGGTGATTAGGCGAGCGCCAGCTGAGGAAAAGACAGGAAGAAGGATAAATCAGTAAATAGCCGCATGAACGGGAGAATACGTATAACAAGATTGATTAAGGGAAGATGACCATCCGAATGTTAATGTACAAT